GTGTGTGTGTGTGTGTGAGAGAACGAACGCGTCGTGGCGTTGGATTCGAGGGAAATTCGCGAGAAACGACCTTGGAGAAACCGAGAGACCGAGTCTCGTACGCGCGCGGATGGACAAAGTCGCGCGAGGAAAAGACGCGGAGCGTTTATAATTGGAGTACACGCGGTGATGGTGATGGCGATGGCGATGGTGTTGGTTGAGTTTGGGCCGCCGAGAGCAGGCTCGGGAAAGAGAGAAAAAGAGAAAAATAGAGCACAGAGACGAGAAATCGCGGTTCGCCTAGGGTCGGCGAAACTTCCAATTACGACCGGAATGTTTTCACCCCGGAAACGACGTCGTCGTCGTCGTAACCGGGGGGGGGAGGGGGAGGGCGGAGAAAGAGAAGACCGCGTGGGCGCGCGCGAGCCTTTGCCGAAGAGGTCCAATTACCCGGCGATCGGCTTCGACGATGGTGCACTAATTGAGAGTATCAATGAACGTCAATGAGCATAGTCAATATTTGGACGCGGAGCATTCGACCGTTTTGTAACGTTCTTTTTGTTAAAACGAATGACAAATATTGACTACGTATGCGCTCGTTCGCGCATACGTGACACACGCGTACTTGGCGAGGGGGGATGGTGGGTATCGACTGTTCTCGTTAATTACATCGGGACGACGGTGTCTCCTGCATTATTTATCGTTGCGCCACCGGCGCAAGTTATTAAACGAACAGCTAGTGGCCGCGCGCGCGCCATTTCGTCCCTATTTACGTTCGCTCTGTCGGTGTCTTCTTTCCACCCTTCGGGTTCCAACCGATTTTCTCGGCCTGAGAGAAGTCGTGAAACTGAGTGGTAGACGCAGTCTAGAGAAACGACCGCGTGTACGAAGAAAGGAAGAGGAGAAGAAGCGAAAATCGTGGGAGAAGGGGAGTGGAAATCGGTAAATATCGGTAGAGAGAAATTTCGTGATTTGCCAAGCAAAGCGGAAAATCGAGGCCGAGTTATTATTTTTCTATCGGTGGCGTGTATATATCGCGGCGCGGTGACGCAATCGGCTATGTATAATGGGTATAACATTCCGCGGAATTCCATTATGTTAACGCAACTACGTTCCAATTCTCCGGGCATGCCTCTCTGTGTGCCTGCCCTCGGTATCGTAGCGTAACACGTAGCGTAACTATGTATCGCAACTATCCGCGCGAGATATACTACTGCTGCGAATGCTCCTCCCGATTAAAATGGTAAATTGATGCGGGCCAGCCAGTGCCTAATACGGCGCGTAGGAGAGCGGCGGCCCGCCTCCGTGAAAATCCGTCCCAAAGCTGGCGAAGCTTAGTTTCCCGGTGAATTACGCGCGGTAAAAGAGTAACAGGTAGTAAAAGAGTAGCTTCTCGCGCGCGTTGCGTTTCCTTCGCGTACGCGTTGCCGAGGAATCGCCACTGTGAGAAAAATTCTCTCTCTCTCTTTTTCTCAGGCGAGTGGAAGCGCGCCACTTAAGCATGGATTATTAAAGATTTGGGCCCCACCGTTCTCTTCTCATTCGGATTAGCAGCTTCGACGGAACGGAAATTTAAATGTAAACTGTCTCTCGTGCCGATTTCGGCGGCGAACGCGAGAGAGTAACACGCTTGAAAAGCCAACTTGGAAGAAACAAAAAAAATTTAATCTTCCCTCGCGTTGTCCCTTTTTTTTTGGACAATAGCGATTTTGCCCCTCTCGGAGGATGCTCTTTCCCCCTTTTCGGTCGTCTCTCGATCCCGTACGCGTGGTAGTT